ACCATGATGGTTTCTATCTCTTCCTCTCGTGTTCTTCCCCTTCCTGGCATGGAGTAGTACTCTTTTTCACTTGGGTGTTGTGAAACCCTAACTATTTTGCCATGTAGTTGTTGGGTGAATTGAATGATTGTTTATGGGTGTTGTTTAATTCAATGATTGGGGTATTTTCATGTTGATTGTGCATGTTTGTGCGTAGTAATCCAATTGGCCATTCTAACCTAGATGAGAAGGAAAACCCCATTTCAAGGGCTGCTCAATTGAGTTTGGATTCCTTGGGCTTTTTAAGCCACCTATCTAGGTTAACGTAGGGCAAGCCTCTACGTCGAATTAAGCAATTTGGTTAAGCGCGATTAAGCTGACCAACCATTGGGTTGAGTGAGAGAGTAAGTCAACCATCGATTGCCCTAACCAAAAGGGCTACTTGAGTAGCTTATAATGTATCCCTTGGTTTGGCAAACAAGAGTGTGGTCTACGATCATAGTTGCATTTCCTAGCGGTTCGCGGTCACCTTGCCCGTAACAATTAATTCAATTCCTCGTGCCATGGTAGTAGTTAGGGGAAAGCGACACCCGAGTGATCCTTCTCACATAGAGCTTTCAAAACCATTTACTTTTGCCTTGCTTTACTTTAATTAGAAATATTTTCAACCAAAACCGATTTGCTAGATAATGTTTCAAACAATTGAAGTAGGGGTACACGGACCGGTCCGAGCCGATATTTAAACATTCTTGCCCTGTATTGCACCCTACTAAGGTTTATACTTGGACCTTAGGCGGGAATTACTTGTGATATTCGGTACGAGTCAACTCCCTTTTTCGAATTAATGTGTCTCATGAACTCGTAAAGTATTCATGTATTTTTTTTGGGTTGAAAGTATTCATGTATTCTAATTTATTTACTTGACACTTTCCTGATCCCCGCTCATTTTACTCTGTTTACATAACCACATTTAATTCCTATTTTGCATAGAATTTCATTTCCCGTAAAGGAGATGTGCTTTGTTGGTTAGTCGGTTGTTCATCACAGCAACACCATACAAACACAAACACTCAAGAATGCATGAGATGACAATAATTCATTTGATGAACTTTGGAGTCATGAGGAAGAGACTCAGTGCCTTCAAGATAACAAGAAAAGCATTTACTTCTTTGTTCGTACTTGGTAGCAACGAGGACTGCCTAATGGAACCATTTGAAACGACAACTGCATGAACCATGTCGGTGACCAGTCATCAAAGAGTCGCTGACAACATCTCTTTTATGAGGAATTGCATACATAGTGACCCGACTCGATCAGTGTTTTCTGTATACTGTTGTTATATCTATGTTTTGTTTATGCATAGCCACATTTGATTTCTATTGATGACTTGGAGTGAATTAATTTATATGAAGGAATGAATCATTAACATAAAATAAAAACGAAGAAGCCTCGAATATTCTTTGTTGATATTTGATATTATTATGTATTTACATTCGTAACTAAGATAAAAACAAAGAGGTCAAGATTCAAGAAGCATTCGCCTGTAGCGGCGGCAAAATATGAAACCTACAGACAGGACAAGTCTCGCTGCCGACCTTCAACTTCTACTAGTGACGAATGCAGCCTCCATGGAAAATGTGGCCGCACAGCGTCTGCTGACTTGAATCTGTGCAGGTTATTGTCACAGGTTAGCATGTATTAACAACTATCCCATCCTAGACCAAGTTTAACCTAGACTGACATTGTCGTATAGTGGTAATCAAGATCTTATACTACTCGGGTCTCGGTACCTAGCCTACTTCCCACCTAGTTGCTAATTAATTCGTTAATCGGTTTTTGAGGTTGAGTGGAGGATATGAGGAAACACTAGTCTAGAGATTGATCAAAGCTAAAAGCAGGTACTTCGGGGAACTATCCCTCCCCTAGCTTAGGGTCACTATGCATATCTAGATACCTAGGATCATCGAATGTGGTGAGTGAGCTCTTTTTCGTGGGCTTTCGTGGTTATCCACACGCCTCCGAGTACGCCTCCCCTAAACCCATGTTCCATTCACCTTTATCTAGGCTATCGTATCTGAGGCATTAAGCTTATGGCTCATTTCAATGGACACTATCCACTGTCCACACCGAGGTTTCATCCCGGGTTTCATCTAGGAAGGCTACCTATGCAGGGGTTTGGTCGCCTCAACCACTATAGACCCCCATTCACACATCTAACATAAACTCGCTAGTTGGCGCATACTCGTCTAGCCCTAGAACTATGTACCCAGCGTGATAGCATAAAGTAGGCTAAGAGGGAATATTAGGACAAATTACCCAACCATCATCATCTAGGAAAGAGTGAAATTAAAATCAACTAGACAAACACATTCATTCATTCAAACCCTAAAATATCCATATATACATAGTAAACCATAAAACTAAGGTTTGGGATTTAGAACCTCTAGTACCTTAGAGGACTACTCCATAAAGGAGGGAAGAATATACATGGTAGAAATAGAAGAAGACTCGGGTTTGAAGAAGATGCCTTCTTGCTCCTAGCTCCTCCTCCTTCTCTTCTCTTTCCTTCAAATTCTCTCTCTCCTCTCTCTAGAACCAGAAAATTTCTCTCAAAATCAACTCTCTTTAAAAGGGAAAAGGGGTATTGTATTTATAGGCATTCTGTACTCGGGGAAGTTTGCGGCCTGAGCATGGGAGATTGCGGGCGGATCTTTTGAGGATAGGCCGTAATCTCAAGACGACGTCGCTATGACTTTCTGAAGGAGGAAGATCGCGAGCTTGATGTGAAAACGAATTATATCCCGATGAATTTATTGTGATCTTCTTCTTCATCCATGTCTTCCCATTCGTCGTCTCTATTAGTGAACGCCGTGATAATGTCATTTCCGGGAGGTTCGAGAATGACGGACGTTAGGTGGCGGCGTAAGCGCTCATCGTACAATGAAGTAAGCATGCCGCCAGTAGACATATTGGCAGGCGGTCAACGGAGCTTGGTCTCCATCAAAGAAACCGATGAAAGAAAGATGAGTAGAATCGATTCCTCTGTGATTTCTTTTCTATTCCAAGTACTTCATTCGACTTTCCTAATTACTGGTTTTATTTATAGTAGTGATTAGTTACATCAACGCTTACTAATTTCTACTCGGAAAAGGAAAGCAGTTTCCAAATTGGTTAAGGAATTTGTGTAACAAAGGTAGCTGTGGGAAATCCCTACCCGACCAGGATACGTAAAACAGAGGTAGCTGTAGGAATTTGTAGTTAGATGAGCTCCAGTCGATATCAATCGTCAATTTTTGTTTTTCATTAAATCAAACTTCGGGTTGATGTTAAGAAATTGGAGATGAGGATAGCACCTTTGTAACTGATTCATTATGAAGGATGAATTGTTGAACCATAGGGTAGCTTCATTTTATAAGCGCGACATGTCCAATCTTCTACATGACCGCAAATGTCTCATATAACTATAGAGCTAACTTCTTATTTGCGAGTTGTTTCACCAAAGTCTGCCTATAGGGTCATAGCTTTTGGTAACACCCAATCCCGGGCATTGAATTTCCTTATAGAATGGTGTCTACTAGTAGTGGCGGATCCAGGACATAGTAGAGCACTGGACCGCATTAGAAAATTAGATACCTTAAAAAAAAGAAATTTTTGTACAATATCAATTGTACACGTCGATCATTTAATATAGCAAATTCATCAATAATGGAGTCTACATCCATGCCAATATCATACTACTCTCCTTCAAATAAAATAGTTAACCAATCAGCGAGAAATTCATCGCTCATTTGTTGCACATATCATATTTCACCTGTTCCATTGTTGAAAAGGTTTTCTCCATAGTAGCTGTTGAAACGGTCAATGTCAACACTAGACAAATCAATTGACTAATCAATTTGCATTGTGTGTTCATCACTATTTCCACCAGCTGCTCTAGTAATTTTTTAGGAGAACAAACATCATAGTTTTTTTAGTTTTTACTTTTTAGACTTTTAGAATTTTAGGTTACATTTCTTTTAGAAGAGAATCATTGGATTTAGAATTTCTAGGCTAAATTTAGTGTTGTGAGTTGAATATGTTCATCTAACCCATTTTCTCAATTACATATAATCTTATTATAAAATAATACTCAGTCGAATGACTAAAATTAATAAACTCATAATAGCTATACTAGCTCCGAATCCAGAGAAGTAGGGATGGCAATGGGTAGGGTCGGGTGCGGGTTTACCCTATACCAACTCCTAACCCGCCGGGTAGAGCTTTCTAAAATACCCGATCAAATAACCACCAGGTATGAAAATTATATAACCATACCCTACCCACCGGGTAACCACGGGTATTCGGGTAACCATGGGTACAAATCCTAAACTATGAACTTATACACATATATGCACATACATACTCTTGTCCAGTAAAAATTCTCAATACTTGTAACTGTTCTAGCTTCAAGAATCCACACAAATAAAAATAGCAAACACATAATAATTGTTCTTGTTTCTATAATCCACACAAACATAATAATCGTCTACATCTTCATCATCAATAATGGTAGCTAAACTCAATTTCTCAAGCTAAAATAAATTTCTCAAGGGAAATTGATCCTTTGGTTAGCGGGGCGGGTATAACGGGCGGGTATTATCGATTACCATACCCGTACCCTACCCTTTATTTTGAAACCGGGTATTACCCGTACCCGATCCTTAACCCATCAAAACGGGTAATTACCCTCGTTGACCTGTTACGATCGGGTAGGATACCCATGATTACGGGTTGGATTGACATCCCTACAGAGAAGGGCTGGATCGTGGACACCCCAGTATCCGCCACTGTGTACCAGCCGTCTGCTTCTGTTTGCTCTGTGCAATGGTCAAGTTATGCCTTGGGAGTCCAATTAGGCTCTATTGGTTCTACACAGCCAAGCCCATAAAGTTTATCTTACCTTTCCATCTAAGCCCAACTAATAGGCCCATACGGCGCGTGCAATTCTCCCTCTTCCCTTCCCCGTTCTCATATAAATTTGGTATATCGCACCCCCACAAAACCCTAATACTGAAACAGCAAGCAGCCGTTCCCCAGAGCAAATCCTAGGGTAGTGAAGAAAGGGAGAAAGCCGCTCGCCCTGTAGGTATTTTTCCTTCGCCGCATCGATTGTTGGCGAACTTGCAGCATCTGTCTTATTGTTTCTTCTTCACTAACTCGTTCCCCATTTCAACTTCATTCTGAATCTGTATGCAGTTCCATTGAAAGAGCCAGTATTCATTTGATTTCCACTTGTTTGGTTCGTTTTGCGATGAGTGCCTTCGGCTCCCGTTCTAAATTGAGTGTCTTTGTTATTTTGCTTCGTATTGTTTTGTTGCAGGTGAGACGCCATGAAGCATAACAATGTTATCCCTAATGGTCACTTCAAGAAGCACTGGCAGAACTATGTCAAGACATGGTTCAATCAGCCGGCGAGGAAGACCCGCAGACGCGCTGGTCAGTGTTCTTTTGGCTTGCGCTTTTTGTTTAATTTGCTCCCTACTCAGTAGGAACCAGTTTAGGTTTGAAGTCGGTGTATAATGAGAAATCACGAAATGTGCTATGTTTGATCTGTAGTAGTATAACTAGACGGAGTTCAATAATTGTGGTTATCTGAAACAGAGTTATTGTTGTTTTTGTCCTTTTTATTTTGTGCTGGCTTGTTTTTGTGCTTCCTCCCAGCTCGTCAGGAGAAGGCAGTGAAGATCTTCCCTAGGCCTACTGCTGGACCTCTTCGGCCAATTGTCCATGGGCAGACATTGAAGTACAACATGAAGTTGAAGGCTGGGAGAGGGTTCACTCTCGAGGAGCTCAAGGTATAACTTGTTGTGTTTTGCTTGTCTTGGCTACAGTTTTATTGCAGTGAGAAATTGCGGTAGTGTGGGTTGATTCACTCTCTTTTCCTTTCTGTGGTTAGGCTGCTGGGATCCCGAAGAAGCTAGCACCAACCATTGGAATTGCTGTTGATCACCGCAGGAAGAACAGGTCCCTTGAGGGTATGCAGGTCAATGTTCAGAGGCTGAAGACTTACAAGGCCAAGTTGGTTGTCTTCCCAAGGCGTCCTGGCAAAGCCAAGGTAAAGCTTTTGTTTTTTTGAACTTCAAACATGAGTTATTCTGTATGGTTAGCAGTGGATTGATTATGTGTATGTGGCACAGCAAGTGAAATTACTTGATATAGTCATGTATAAATTGTCTAAGTGATTCCCACTGTTTTTGCAATGATGGGGCTACTCTGTTGTATGCATTCTGAAACAAACACAATCTATCCTTAATTCTTATCAACATAACAACATGCCCTATGAAGTTTTCTGGATGCTTAAGGTTATCAGTTACACTACTAAGCTGTATGAACACTAAAACTTTATCAACTTGTCTTTGCAGGCTGGCGATTCTGCTCCTGAGGAAATGGCTACTGCTACTCAAGTCCAGGGAGAGTTCATGCCGATTGCACGCGAGACTCCATCGGTTGAGCTTGTGAAGATTACTGGTGACATGAAGTCATTCAAGGCCTATGACAAGCTCAGACTCGAGCGGACCAACCAGCGTCACTATGGTGTTAGACTGAAGAAGGCTGAGGAGGCTGCCAAGGAAGAGAAAAAGTAAAAAGAGAATAGTAGTATGGTCCCCGTTTTGGTATTGCATTTTAGCTGCCAGTTTTTCGAGATAGAGACTTTGTTATGGATTCTGTTTTGCAAAGCTGATCAATCTGTTTTTGTTTGCTCATACATTATCGTTGGATTGGCGAGAAGATTTTATAATGTGGGATTGGATGTTTTGTTTCTGTGTTATGTATTTTGCTTTTAAAAGCCTTTCGAGAATGGAGGTTATATTGTGGAAGTTGTTTCAGTAATAAGGCCGGAGTATGGTATATAGCTCGTCTTGTTTAGGAGTTATTTGATTGTGTTGTTGGGTTCGTTGTTTATTATGTAGATACTATGTGAAGCTTTTCTTAATTCTTCGCATCACTTCCTGGAAAGTGTTTTATTGTTTTAGCTTCCGTTTGCCTTGTTCTGGACAAGTATCTAGTAGCTGTGTTTTCTCTCATTGTAAATTCACATCACTAGCATTCTCCTTCATCAAAAGAATAGGGGTTGAGCAAGGGCTTCCGAATTGGGCTTAGTTTACGAGCTTGTGCCCGTTTCTCACTCTTTTTCAACTGGGCCCCATTCAGTAGGTGCCTCCCTTGGCTTTAGCTAATCAGACCACACCTTTTGGGGTTGTGGTTTACTGTTTCCTTATATAGGTTTGCAATATGTAGATATTGCAATAATTTTTCAATTTTATTACTAGCCATAATTTGAAAATATAAAATATTTAGCTAATTGTTAAATTTTCATGAACACTTTCACCGGAACAATTGAATTGTAATTTGGACTATGATTGGGTGCATAACCTTTACGTATGATATGCATCATTCTATAACTAGATCTTGATCTTTAGATTTGAGTGGCCTCAGAAAAATTCATATATAAGGCGGACTCCAATGGACTTCTTTAATTTGGGGGAATTGCCAAAAATGGCCATATTTGTTATATGCTTCGGCACAAATGGCGCAGGGAATGGCGACTCCCGACATTTTTAGGGACCGCACGGCTAGCTGTTATCACCGCCACTTGCATTTTTTTATTATTTTATTGAGTTTAATTAGATCAATCATTTTCAAGTGTTGTGTGTAAAGAAAATTAGGCCAATCATTTTTTGTCGAAAAATATTCGGTCTTGGTAATTAAAAAAATTTCATAAAAAATTTTGTATTTAAAAATGATAACGAACTATACAAAAATTGACATGACCAAATTAGATTAAGATGATCATCAGTACATTTTTAAGTAAAGAAAAAAATAGTAAAAAGGGAGATCTCCAAATTTGGAGATGGTAGCATTGGAGCGAAAATGGGGATAATCCCCAAATTTGGAGACTAGCATTGAAGTTGGTCTAAGGATGAGAAAAAAAGTTCCAACATATGATGAGAAATTTCATACCAAGTCATACAACTGGTTACCACATTGGTACCAACTTTGTTTTTAACTCGAATTTTAATTTTTTTTGCATAGATTGAACGAAATCTTCGTGATCTATTGCATAGACAAGTTTTTGAAAAAAAAAATACAAGACAAAAACCTATCACTCTGTACCACCCTACTATAGGGATGATAAGTAGTGGTACACAATGATCAATGTGGTAAATGACAGTTTGTATATTTTACTATCATGTATTCGACCATTATACGTTGTGGTATGTTCATACTACCATTATATAGTACCAAGCAATGCAATCAAAATTGTGATTCTAAGTAGAAGCGTTTTGATGATCTAGACATAAAAACGTAAGATTGTAAGGTTTAAAGCGTAGGTTTAGACAACACTTGTACAGAAAAAGCACGATGCTACGTAGAAGCGTTTTGATGATCTCAAAGTGTAAAAGCATAAGCATTTACGTTTAAAGCGCGATTTTGACTTCGTTGGTAGCAAACATTACTAAAAAAATACAGGACAAAAACGTATCACTTTGTACCACCCTAGTATAGTGGTGGTAACTAGTGGTACACAATGATGAATGTGGCAATGACAGTTTGTATATTTTTATTATCATGTATTCGACCATTATACGTTGTGGTATGTTCATACTACCATGATACACTTGAGTATCACGTGGTATGATTTTATGTAGTACCAAGCAATGCAATCAAAATCGCGATTCTAAGTAGAAGGGTTTTGATGACCTAGACATAAAAACGTAAGATTTTAAGGTTTAAAGCGTAGGTTTTGACAAAACTTGTAAAGAAAAAGCACGATGCTACGTAGAAGCGTTTAAAAAAACTCAAAGTGTAAAAGTGTAAGTTTTTAAGTTTAAAGCGCGATTTTGACTGCATTGGTACCAAACATTACTACTATGGTATAGAATAATGCTAATTGTCTCAACTTTTGTTTTTTAAAAAAATATATCAAAGTGGATATAATTTTTAAGAGTACAATTTATCTTATTTATCTACGCAACTAAAAATTTTATGACTTAAAAAGAAAGAGATATTTCCCGTTAAAGTTTATAGGGGAAAATTGTTAGGGGCCTTCCATAAATGTTGATGTGGCAGTGTATGCAAAAAAAAAAAAAAGTTATGACTTAAAAAGAAAGAGATATTTCCCGTTAAAGTTTATAGGGGAAAATTGTTGGGGCCTTCCATAAATGTTGATGTGGCAGTGATGTGTTAGTTATGCATGATTATTGATCATAAGGTTATGGATTCGAACCACTCCCTGTAATATGCTTCAGTATAAGTTGTGGATGGTATTAGGTGATTTTAATACAATAAAAGGCCCAGAGGAATAACCTACCTAGGGGTTTTCAAATGGTTACAATGATACCAAACCAATTAAGTCAAAAATTTATTAACAATGAAATACAATATCATAGCCAAACTGAGCAAATTAATAAAACAACCAAATTAACCAAACTAAAGTTTAATCGATTTGGTTAATAGATTAATCGGGTTAACCAAATGTTTCTTGGAATCTAGTTGCTTTAGCAAAGAAAGAAGGGGTACTTGGCTTCAAATGTATGAAGAGTTGGAATACAACCTGTGTAATCGGGCATACTTGGTCTAGTCCGACAGATACCAATTCTTTTTGGAATGTATGGGGTTAAGGAATATAGGCTCAGGAATGTCACTTTCTATCAGGTTAGCATTCCTGGATAATGGACTTGGAATAAGGTACTTAAAGCTTGGTCTTATATTGATGGACATATAGAACATTCTGTGGGTGTTTTTTGGAAAGGAGAAATCATGCCCAAAATACTCTCTTATGAAGATTTGGGATCAGATAAGGCCAAGAGGTAGTAGAGTGCCTTGGTTCCAATTAGTATAGAAACCATAAAACATTTCCAAAAAAATTCTTTATCTACTGGCAGGTTCAATTGGATGGAATTCAAACTCTAGACAAGATAAAAAATGGCCAGCGGATGTAAATCTCACATGTCTACTATGCTTGACACTTCCATAATCTCGTGATCATATTTCTTCGGTTGTGTTTTTTTTTTTAACAGCGGGTGGTAGCTAGGTTCTATGTTTCCTGGTTCCCGGAACTAGGCTAGATGCAGGTTGGCAGGATGGAATGTTGGAAGCAGTGGAATGTTTCAAAGTATGTAAGGTTGGCAAAATGGTGTGGAATATGATGATTAGTGAGATATGGCAGGAATGATGAAGAAAGTTGTATGACAAAATGACTATCGCAGTAGAAGAATTGTCGTGAAAAATGCGAATGCGTTGGTGACTCGCACGAAACTACACCACAAATTAATTCCGATTAGAGCCCAACTTTTAAACTCTAATCGGGTGCAATATAGAGTAAGTATTTAATTGATATGCAAAATTAGGTTGCGTTTAATTGAGAATAGTTGGTCGAAAATTTTTGCGTTTGAATCTTGGCGACCTCATTTCTTAAGCATACGGTATACAGATTTGTGCAAACATCAATTTCGTATAAGTTGACTTTCTAATAAGGGAGCATGGTAGTAAATGGTATAATATATTTGAAATCTTCCAACAACTCGATTTATTAATACTAAATATTTTTTTAAGAACATCATTCGAAAGCGAACGACTAGGTAAATCATGAATTATTGGTTGGTATAAGATTTATTATTAACCTCTATCAACAACTCGAGGTATTGATACTGACGGTTCTTAACAAAGAACACCATTTGAAACACTACGACTAACTAAATCAATGGTTGTTTAGTATATATGCAGAGTGATATTCTTGATTTTTCGACTGCTAATGCATTTTAATTTATCAAAAGTTTTCAACATAAGATTATATTTAAAAAAACTATTTTATCATATTTATTTTTTTCGAGGTGGACCCACCTTAAACGAAATCCTGGCTGCGCCACTGCTTCAATCGCTTAGGTTGTTATCTAGTAAGCAACTTTTGGGTTTATAACTAATGGAACTACAAACTAAACTATCAAGTAAAAGAAAATCCTAACTAAGGGAGCTTCACCCAGGAGTTACTTCCCCCTAACTAGCTACCGTGAATCGTTGGATTGAATGGAGTCGTGTGGCATAGGTGGTTGTGAACCGCAGGTGGTGAGCAACTAGTGATCAATCTGTCACGGCATCAATTCACTAGCGATCGATTTGTCACGGGATCGGTCCACTCACCAAGTCTAGGGGAACCACTAGGAGGAGCAACTAGCGAGCCATTTGTCATGGGATGGATTCACTAGAGGTCAATTTGTCACGAGATCGATCCTTTCGCTCGGTCACTAGTGGTTGCCTAAGTCTCTCCCTCAAACCGGAGTTTGAGCGGCTTAATCACAACCAACCTAGATGCAAACTGGTAACCGCGAACCGCAGAGAAAACCGTATGTCGTTGGAGACCACAGTCTCAATTGCTAAACCGAGGTAAGCATGAAAGGCCGTGTCACTCGGCCCTCTCGGTTTAGAAAATTGGTAATCGACTTACTCCCTCACTCAACTCTAAGGTCGGACGGCTTAATCGCGATTAACCGATTTGCTTAACTCAAGATTGAGGGTTGCCCTAACTTAACCTAGTATAGGTAGCTCAGAAAGCGGAAGGAAAACCAACTCGATTGAGTTTCCCTCGGAAGGGGGATTTTCCTCTCTAAGCTAGGATAAGGTGGCTAATTAGATTGCTAGCACCTACATGCACAAACCTAAGGGTGCTAAGCACAATTATGTACAACCCCTAGGTTGCTAAGCATGAACATGCACAATCACCATGAAAACACCTCTAATACTCAAATTGATGCAAACCCACACTTAATCAGTCAATCTAGACAAGTAATTACAAAGTATTAGTTAGGGATCTACAACACCCAAGAGAAAAGAGTGAGTTTCTAGAGACAGAGAGAGAGAGGGATTACAGATTTGAGCTCAAGATCTTCTTCTTCTTCTTCTTCTCC